TAATCCACTCTACAACCCTCATTGCATACTCCTACGATAAAAATAATGCCCTAAAATATAATACTTTTAGACTATTCTCTGAACCAAGCTCTAATTGAAAACATTTAAAAAATCTCATGGGTTTAAAAACTATATTTAAGCATTCACCTTATATATACTGTTGTATTTGGGCAAAAAATGCCTAACTACTCATGTGAAATGTTCTCATATTGCATTTTTTTACATTATAAATCAAAGACTTGACTTGGTAAAATGAGATCTAATTTCCTAGAAGTAAAACTATGACAATAACAAGTTGCTTATCTGTTCAGCAAAGTGAACCAGGCATAGTTCAGGGAAAGAAATATGCTGCCTACCACCCAATTTGTCAGAGGTGTGAAGGAAATGAGAGTAACACAAAAGTTGGTTGACAGAACTATAGTTGAGAACATCTCATGAAATTTCTGAAAATAAAACTACAGCTTTCCTTCCACTTCTTGGGTTCTCTCCAAGATGACTTGCCTAGATCTTAAGAGAGAAATGATGCTTTCACAAGAGGATGACTCCCTTACTCTTTAAAGATGATACTTAAAATATGTGTGTGTGTGTGTGTGTGTGTGTGTGTGTGTGTGTGTGTGTGTGTACACACTCTGCATTTAAACAGATGAGGGAGCAAACTGCTAAAAAGGGATATATGATTTGGTATTACTGTCATGATAGAAGTCCAGAATGAAGGCAGTATAGTGGAATGGACTTAGAGGGAGAAATTTTTCTATTACTTTTCAAAGAGAAGAGTGAATTGGGGCGGGGGGGTAAGTGGGGTAGGCAGGGAGAAAAGTCCAACAATGAACGAATGGAAATTGGAAGTCTTGGCAAACTGGAGAACAATCTCTTGGCCCACTGACTTGAAGAGATAAATCTGTATTTGTCCCCAATTCCAAAGAAAAGTGATCCCACACAGTGTGGAAATTATTAAATAATATCATTAATACCACATGCAAGCAAGATTCTGTCGAAGATTATCCAAAAATGACTGGAACAGCACATCAACAGAGAACTTCCAAAAGTGCAGGCTGGATTTAGACAGGGTCTTGGTACTAGGGATATTGTAGCTAATGTTAGATGGATCTTGGTTAAAAACAGGGAGTACAATAAGGATGTCTATTTGTGTTTCATTGGTTACGCAAAAGTGTTTGTGTGGATCACAACAAACTGTGGCTGACTCTGAGAAGAATGGGACTCCCAGAACACTTGATCATGCTAAGGCAAAACCTGTACTTGACCCAGAAGGCAGTTATCAGAACAAAGTAAGGAAACACAGTATTGTTCAAAATTGGGAAAGGTGTATGCCAGGGATATATGTATCCTATCTCCATACCTTTTCAATCTTTATGCAGAACAGATTATCTGGGAGGCTGGGCTCTGTGAGGAGGAACGTGGCATCAGAATTGGAGAAAGACTCATCAATAATCTATGTTATGCAGATGACACAACCCTGTTTGCCAGGGGAGGACCTGAAGCTCTTGCTGCAGAGTGTCAAGGACTGCAGCCTTCGGCATAGAATGAGGCTCAATATCAAGAAAACAGATTCTTACCACTGGGCCGATTGGCAGCACCATAATGGATGGTAAAGAGATTGAGACTGTTCACAGTTTTGGTTTGCTTGGCTCCACAGTCAACATTCTTGGTGCCAGCAGCCAGGAAATTAAAAGATGTATTGTGATGGGAAAGTCTGATGTTAGGGAACTCTAAAGTGCTGGAGATCAAAGATGTCGCTCTGGAGATTAAGGTGCATCTGATACAGGCTGTGGTCTTTGCAATCACTTGCTATGCATCAGAGTGCTAAACAATGACTAGGGGTGATAGAAGGATGCCTTTGAGATGTGGTGTTGGAGAAGAGTATTGACTATACCATGGATTGCTAGGAGAACAAACAGGTTTGTCCTAGAGAAATGAAGCCAGACTGCTCCTTGGAGGCAAGGATTTTGAAGCTTCATCTGACAAACTTTGGACATGATGCAAGGAGGGACCAGTCCTTGGAGAGGGATGTCATGCTTTGGAGGGTGGAGGGACACTGAAAAGAGGAAGACCCTCAATGAGATGGATTGATCCAGTGACTGGGTTAATGGGAGTAGGTGTGTCAGAGACAGTGAGATTGGCACAGTATAGGGCAAAGTTTAAGGCTGTTGTACATAGGGTCGCTATGAGTTGCAGGCTACTCAATGGCACATAACAATAACAACAACAACAACAACAACTGTAAACTTTCATTAAAATTAATTAAAAAAGAAAAAAATTTAAGTATTTTGAAAAGATAAGAGTGATAATAGGTATAGTTGTTTTGTACCATCCAGTCACCTTCAACTCATTGAAACCTAGGTATGAACAATTACTCTGAACCTTGCCCTATCCTGAGCCAGTCTCACTAACTCTGACACACCAATTTAATAAACAATACTAACAGGTACAAAGACATACAAATATTAAATAGGGGCAGGGAACCAGATAATCAGAAACAATAACAAAGAACTGATAAAGACAAAAGAGCAGAGACTACTGATGGATGTGCTGAGTAAAGAGAAAAGTGAGGCATAGTTAGGATTTGACGAGATAGTATAAGAAATGGTTATCAACCAACTATAATTAATGTTGTAAAAGACAATGTATATGAATGACTGATTGTAGATACAACAAAAGCAAATTAAAAATAGTTCTATTAGTCTTTTGGAAGCGAACAGCTGATAGTTAACAGAAGAACGTGGGATTATTCAAGGCATGTTGTTGTTCTGCTACTATTTATAAGGCTTCTTTCACTGACCAGCTATTTCCCGAGTGAATGGTCAGAACTCTTCATACTCTTAGTCTGGAAGCTCTGTTGACACTTGTTCACAATGAGCAACCTTACAGGTAGGTATCTTGAAATTACATTGGCCTAGCTTCCAGAATACTCAGCTTTCAGACTATGCTGTCAAAGCTCCACGTATAGGGCTCAGCTAGTAATTCAGTATTCATAAACATCAATGATTAGTCATAGAATTATAAAAGCAATAGTAAATGTAATTTTCTAAAACTTAAATGAGCCATGTCTTAGTCTCAGGCTGCACACCAGAAGAATTCTGACTGTAGCATCCTCTTAATTTTTCTCTAAAACAATAACATTTTCTAATTCCTACTTCCTCAGCGGCACCTATCTATTTTGGGTTATTCTTTTTTTAAAAAAAACTATTTTTCAAATACTAATAGTGCAGTAGTGATTATCCTTTAGCCACCATAATTTTCAGCTATCTCTTCAATGTGAAAACGGGTACCTACCATTGTAGTGTTTGATTGTGTCAAGGGTTAAGAATCTCTTTATCACCAGATAAGCAGAGCCAGGTTCAGCTAAGGAACTCCACCGCAGCACCTGCTCCAATACATTTTCTGTGTAGTGAAGAGGGCGTTCTGGAAGAAGGAAAAAAAAAATCAATCCAACAAAACTCAAATTGAAAAGAAACAGACTCAGACACTGATGCATATTTTATAGTTATAGATTATATAAATATATCCTTCAGAAGAGAACTGTAAGCAACAGTATTATGTAAAACATTGGTATGTGTAACACAGGAATAGTTGTTTTTACTTTACAGTAGAGAGCGTAACACCTAGAAAACCTTTAAACTGTATAAATGCATCAGTGTAGGCACCCCTGCTTGCAATTCAATTAACATACATTCTGTTAGATGGTGTTTCTAGGTGCTGGCAAGTGGCCGCTTGACTCATAGTAATGCTCTGAACACACATGATAATATCCTGCCTCAATCTACATCATCTTCACTGAATCTGGTGCTCATGACCATTGTTCACTACTGAACTTCTATTTTTCCAAGCAAGATGTCCTTGGAAAAGGAAGGCATTCTCAGAGCACTGAGTCCTCATGCACATAGATAACAAGCCCATAGTATTTTAGACCAAGTCTAACGATCCTTGCTTCCAAGGAACAATTCTGATTGCACAAGTTTAAGGCAGATATGTGTATTCTTTTGTTAATCCATGATATATTCAGCTACACAAGTATTTGGTCTTCGGCATTCAACATTGTTGAATGACCATGCTTTAGGTCAGACACAACCTTTGTTTTTAAAGTGACATCATTGCTCATTAGTAATTTAAAAAGGTCCTTGGCAGCTGATTTGCTGAATGCAATAGTTCTTTGCTGTATTGCCTTGTTTCCTCCATGGGTGTTGATAGTGATATAATGAAAACCTTGACAATGTCAATCTTTTTCTCATTTATGATGTTGCTTATTGATGCAGTTGCTTATCAGGCCAGGCTTACTATTGCTTATTATCTTTATATGAAGACTATATGAAGACCATATTGAAGACTATGGCTTCTGAACTTCATCAATGATTCAAATCTTCTTCACATTCTGAAAGCAAGATTGTGTCACCTACAGATTGTAAATGAGTCTTCCATTAGCCCTTAAGGCACATTCTTCAGCTTCTTAGATTGTTTAGCACATGGACTGATTATGTACAGTAAAATGGCACAACCCTGACACAGATCTTTCCTGATTTTACAGCACACCTTATTCCCTTTTTCTGTTTAAACAATTCTTAGTCTCAATTAAGGTTCTGCATGAGCAATATTAAGTGTTCCTGGAATTTGCATTCTTCTCAAAGTTACATATACTTTATTATAATCTACATAGATAAATACCTTTGCAAAGTCAATGAAACAATCAAGTAAACATTGCTGGAATTCTAGGCTTTAGGCCAAGATCTATCTACCAGGCATAAATAGTGCTATCTCTTGTTCCAATGCCTCTTCTGAATTCAGCATGGATTTCTAATAATTTCCAGCCAATGTACTGCTCCAGCCTTTTGAGAGGGGAAAAATGATTCAAAATTGCACTTGCTTGTCTGAATGATGATACTGTTGTTCCTGTGTAGCATCAAGTTGAAACTGACCCATAGCTGACCCTCTGATGCGTTTTCAGAAGCAGTTAGTTGCATGAGAGAAAACTGTTTATCTTTCTCCTGTGCAGCAACTGGTGGATTCAAACCACATGCCTTCAGGAGCGAAGCAGTCTTTTAACATTAGGCTAAAGTTGATTTTTTTTTTTAAAAATCACTTTGTTTTAGAATGAGTACATACATGGATCTCCTCCAGCTGACTGGCCAAGTGGTTGCCTCCCAAAATTCCTGATACAGACACAGCTGTCTCTGTTTTAGTAAACAAATCAACTGGCATTCTGCCAATTACTGGAATCATATTATTATCCTACACTTTTAGTGCAGAGGATGGATTCCTCTCTTCAAAATTATTGGCTCTTGAGTATATATGCCTGACATAGCACATGATACTGAAACGGCGTGATACAGGCCAACAATTTTCAGTTTATTGATACTGTATACTTCTTTCCTCTTCTTTTCAAGCTTCCAGAATTATTCAATATTTTGCCTATATTTTATGGTTGACAATACTGGAAAAAAACAAACTGCAAGGAATAGAGTCACATTCCTTCTTAAAAAGAATGTTTAGACTATGTATAATGAATTGAAACAGATGAGGGAGAGAACAGTTTAAAAGTGATATATGATAGCATATTATGATTATCACAGGAATTCAGAATTAAGGTGAATAGTGGAGTGCATTTGGGGCACGGGGTGGGGGGGGTAGGGTCAGGGGCAGGGGGATTGTATACCAATGAAGAAGTTTATCTTTTGCTTTTCAAAGAGAGGAGCAAACTGGAGGAGGGTGGTAAAGAAAAGAGTGCAATAATGAATGAACGAAAATCCAAAATCTCTGTAAATGTTCATTAAAATTAAGAAAATAAAATTAAAAAAAAAGAACATTTCAATGTGTCCTGAAGTATAATGCTGTCAATGATAAGATAATGTACATATGAATAAAAGACATCCTTATAATACGAATATTACTCATATTTACACATCAACCATAAAGGCCAAAGATAAAGAAACTGAGGATTGCTCTCACCTTGTGAAATCATATTTGATAAAATAAGTAATCAAGATACATGAATAGTAACTAAAATTGGAATGCAAATACCGCAAACAAGACTGTTGTTGTTGTTGTTAGATGTCGTAGAGTTGAGTAAGACTCACAGAGACCCTATGAACAACAACTCTCAACCCTGCCCTGTCCTGCACCATGCTCACCGATCTCTGCCATGCTCAAGTCCTTTGTTGTAGCCATTGTGTTAATTCACTCTGCAGAGAGGCTGCCTCTCTTTCTAACTGCAGGTCTTTGCATATTTCATTATAATACTAGGCTCTTTATTTACCTTTCTGAGTACGATGTCTTTTCCCAAAGTCTAGTAATCTCCTCAAATATGCCCAGAATATGAGAGACAAATTTTTATCATCCTTGCTGCTTAGGAGAACATGGAGGAGTTTCACATTCTCCATGCCAAACTTGTTTGTTCTTTTGGCAGTTCATGGTATATGAAATATTCACCACCACCACAGTACAAAGGCATCAATTCTCCTTCTGCCATCATTATTCACCACCCAACTTTCAAAAGCATTTGAAAATACCATAGCTTGGATCTGGCACACTTTAGTCTTTAAAGTGATATTCTTGCTCTTTAGGAATTTAGAAAGGTCTTGACAGCAGATTTAACCAATACAGTATGCTTTTATATGTACTGACTGATGTTACCATGGCTACTGACTGTGGATTCAACTAAAATGAAAGTGTTTTCTCCACCTAGCATGATGTTGCTCTCTGGTCCAGTGGTGTGGATTTTTGTTTTCTGGACTTGAGATATAAACCCTATTGAAGGTGGTAATCTTTGATCTTCTTCAAGTCTTTTTCACTTTCTGCAAGCAAGGTTGTGTCATCTGCAGTGATGAGTCTTCCTCCAATCTCAAAGCCACGTTCTTCTTCATGGCTAGCTTCTATAATTGTATGTTCAGCATATAAACAGAATCACATGGAGAAAGGATCTAGCTGAGAAGGAATGGTGGCTGTAAAATATGGCCTTAATGACAGAAATGAGGCTGGAGATCACATTATAGAATTCTGTACTAGCAACTTACACATTGCAAATAATATTTTTTTAGGAAAATATTTTTCTCTTTATTTGTATTTTAAATTACAAATAAGTATTGTGCTTTGGATTTGAAGGAATATATATAACTACACACACAGACTTTGCCTGATGAAATATAAAGTAACTAAGTTAGCTACATCTGTGCAAAGATATGGTGGAGATGCTCAATATTATCAGTTAGAACAAGGCCAGGGGCCCAATGTGGAACAGACCATTTATTGCTCACATTCCAGTTCCAACTTAAGGCTCAAGAAAATGAAAACAATTCCACACAAGCAAAAACACAGCATAAAATCATCAGAAAAATTAGATACATTCAAAATTAACCACAGAAGATCAGACAAATTTTTGGAGGACTCAAAGCACATCATAAATGAAGAAAGCAAAATATAATTAAAAAGTCAGGAAAGGGAAAAAAAAAGAACAACCAAAATGATAAGTAGAAGAGCAGATAGAGCAAGTACATAAAAAGGAAGGAAGAATAACAGCGAGAGAGCTCAACAAAAGACTTCAAAGGGTAACTCGAGAAGACAGAGCCTAGTATAATAAAATATGCAAAGAACTGCAGTTAGAAAGCCAAAAGGTAACATACTCAGCATTTCTCCAGTTAAAAGAACTAAAAAAAAAATTCAATTTCTAGTGGCAAGTCTCAAATAGAATACTGAAAGAGTCTATGGGCAAAATAATTTGTTTTAGGTATTCATATTTAAAAGATATATCTCATGTTCTTTGCATAGAAAATTTAAACTGCTTTTAAAATTACAATCTAAGTGTCATAGGAATACTTTCACTCATCAAAATATGTCAAACTTTTAATACAATGCAACAACAGAAGCATTTGCTGGGAAATGGAAATTTAAACCATAACACAGTACACTAAAAATGCCCTAAGTAAAAATAGCAAGCACAGAAAACTCTGACATAAACAGATCTAAAATCCAGCCCTCCTTGGTAGCCATATACACATCAATTCAATACTCTCATACTCGGTTTTAAAGGCATAATTCATGTGCTCAGCCTTTATTTTGGTAATGACAATCATGCTGATAACGAACAAGAAATAAAATGCCTACAGCATCAAACTGATGTGTGGCCCATGACATCAGCAGTAAAATTACTAATGAAATTACAAGTAAAACATACCTAATATAACACATCTTTCCTAGTCTTGCCATGAAAACCTCATTTCAGAAGTCATCAATAATCTCTAGTTTCGTCTAAGAGAGAGTATGTTTTCTGCTTCACTGTAAATAACCAGATCATTGCTCTCTAGTCAGTAAACTGAAATCTAGTTCTGCATTCTGTGTTTACTGGAGCAAGGTGCACATCTTGATAGTTTAAAAAATAATAATAAAAAAGAGAATAGACAGATCATCACATCTTG